CTCATGAGCGTGACATGGACGTGGAGGTCACCAAGTACATTGGGCGTACCAGAGGGTACGTTGAGCATACTAGGCTCAGAGTGAAAACCCTAATCGAGGGGTGTGTTCCTATTTAAGGAACACGATGACCTCATTTATGGCCACCATATCTCACCTTCAACCCTTTCAAAACCCTAATTTCCATTCCTTTAGCTTGAGTGCATATTTATGAGCTTCTAAGTGTTCTTATGGTATCTTGGAGTGAAGAATAAGCATTGAAGAGAATAGAGTGGAAGTCCAGGCCTTAGATCTAAGCGTTTCTGTGGTTAGAGCATCATTTGAAGGTATAAAGCTCAAAGTTTTCCCATCCTTTTTTATTTGTGCATATTATGGTCCATTTTAGGGTTTTTGGTCCCAAAGCTTGTAGCTTTATGAGTTGTTCAACTCCAGAGCCGAATATCTGTCCCTTTAAGTGTTTCTAGTAGAGAGGATTCATAAAAATGAGGCTTTGGACATTAAAACCACACCCATGCATGAGATATGAGCATTTTTAGGATAAAAGAGTGAGAGTTTTTGTGTTTGGGACTTGCTCAGCCATGAAAAAGCAAGTCACAAACTTTATTGAGTATGATCCTTTAGGGAGTCCAGATTTGAGAGTATAGCTATGGTCTTAACGGATTAAGACCCATGGAGTGGGAAAAACAAGTTTGGGGCGTATGCCGACGGTAATCCTAGCACACACCGCATACTAATCTAGTGACCCCGATCAAGATTCATGTGTATGTTGAGCGAACCAAGGGAGGTATGCCCTGCAGAATCTCACTATGCGCTTTTTTGGAAAAATCTCATATCAGGCCTTAAGTGTTGGGCCTAGATTTTGGGCTCGTTGTACTAGAGATTTTGGATCATAGGAATACATATAGGTTTTGGGCCCTTGTGTTGAGCTTGCCATTTGGACTTAAGTTTAAGGGTTGGGCCTTGGGAGAGCCCATATAATATTGGGTCTTAGTGGGTACAATGGGCTTGGGTTATTTATGGGCCGGTTAGTGGACTATCTTTAGACCTAATGAGTGAGGGTTTGGTCTTAGATCCTAATTGGGTTAATTGTGGGTTTGGCTCAGTGTTAAAGGCCGGTGTGCAGCAGCAACATCTATAGGAGTTGTTCATCATCCGAGGTGAGTCTCCTTACCATACTTACCATGAGTGGTAACTTTGTGTGACCCCAGGGTCTTGTATGTTTATATTAAGTATTGTGATATCCTGCATTATGTCTTTGTGATTTATGTTGTGTATTATTCTGAGCTTTACTAAGTTAGGACCGGAGGGTCCCACCAAGACACATTGAACGGAGGGTCTTATTCGAGATATATCCATGAGAGGCTAATGAGATATGTGTGGTATTTTGCGGAAATCACTAAGCTTTGTGCTTACCGTGTTATGTGATATGTGTTTCAGGTATGTCTCAACATCGTGAGAAGGTGTTGGCTTGATTGTACACACGAGATGGAGTTATGTTTTGAGGATCCCGAATTTTTATTCAAATAATTATGGATCTGTTTTTTGATAAATTGACACCTTGGGGTTTTTTGAAATGTGTTTATGAGAATTATGTGATTTTGGATATGAAAATTTTGGTTGAAAATTTACGGTGTTACAAGTTGGTATCAGAGCCTTGGTTTGAGGGATTCGGATGTACTCTCAGGTATGTCTGGACTTAAACTGAGGATTTGAGAAAATTTGTCTAAAAGAAATGACTTTTCTAAAATGAGTAAGAGTTTAAAGAGAAAACGAGACGGAAAAGTGTGTACAATCAGCCAGAGCCCGGGTGGTGATTTCCCAAAATACCATTACTGTTTTACATTATGATATATATATATATATATATATATATATATATATATATATGAGATATTAGAGCTGCATGTTATAGGATAGGCTAGGTATTTCAAAAATTAGTGCTAGAGTTGCCTGATTCATGATGTCTTAGCCTAGGGAATGCTATTGATTGGCATTATCTATATTTGCTCTGTGTATGTGTCGAGTAAGAGTAACTAGAAAGGATCTTTTAGAGCTTTGAGTAGAGGAGTAATCTAGAGAGACACGTAGATGTGTATTGGAGGAATCTAATGAGAGAGTAGTTAGATACCTATGAGAGGTAGGGTTGCATGTGTTCGGGAATGCCTTTTAGAGTTGCGGATAGAGTGAGTGGAGTTGTATGCTAGAGTGGTTTTATGCGTTGGTGGAAGTGATTCAATGACCGAATGTTGCTTGCTTTGTGCTTTGTGGAACTCTTGATGATGGGAGACAACTACTAAGTGAATATGATGATATTCAGGAGGTAGATGGTTAACATCATGGGGAGTTCTTCAACAGCTGATAGCAGAGAAGTGTGAGAACCTAGGAAGAGCCTAGGGAGTGACTTTAGTCAGATGAGTACATTGATAGAGGAGAGTATTTGCTAGAGAGCGAACATGTGTAACGGGAATGGTGATCGAGAAGGTTGAGTAGTTACTTAGGAAATTTGGGACGATCTGCGTGGAAAGTATGGGTAGATGTGGCAGGTAGTATGGCCCCATACTATTGAATGCAGAGGACCCATATTCAAAACAGGGAGAACTCTAGAGGTTCTAAATAGCAGGTTAAGGGGAGATAACATGGTTCGGGTACCATGAGCCGTAGTAGGATGTGTTTCCATATTTACCAGTTATCCAACGATAGGTGTTCAGACTGAAAATGGATATGGTAAACTGTGGGGCCAGAGGGCCATGTCGGATGAGCTTCGATGTAGCGTACCTTGTGAGGAAAATTGATTTTAGATCCCAAGGAGTTTGACTGATGAGCTACTAGTTGGAGTTGCAGCACTTGAGAAAAGTGGAGATGATACACTATGTAGGATTGCGGTCTGGGTTGATTGATCGACCGATGGTTGAGATGCCACTTCTGTGACGAGAATTACACTATTTCCGCTTCTCGTGTGGAGCGAAAGAGATAACGAGCTTCTGGTTTCATAGTTTGGAGGTAAACGCCATGGGGTAGCATATAGTTGCGATGTATTTCTTATACCGTGAGAGAGTCATCAGTGGGGACTGAGATGGATGAGGACAAGTAGATGCCATAGTTGAGTAAGGCGTACTTTTCAGCAGCAGTTCCAGGTGATCAAGAGAAGTATATCGGGGCAGCGGCCCTCGTTGCCTATGTTGTGTATCGACTGTGAGAGTGAGGTCTCTTGCTCCTATAATAATTCCCGCAATAGAATGTTGGTCGAGAAATCGGAGACAAGGTGTAGGAAAGTGCATTATTTCCAGAATAAGAGTCGTGACTAATTAGGGATAGTTAGGATATCCAGAATGAGAGTCGTGACTAAGTGGGGGAGAAATAGGTATTCTATAGGGTAGGATCCTCAATCTGATGCGGAAAAGAAGTTTGGGTTATGAGGATTTGCGGTACGAGTATACGAGATGGGAGTCATGTGGCAGTTGAGATGGTGTACAACATGAGATAAAGCATGTTGCGTATTCTCAAGAGAAATTGAGTGACTTCACGGCAGGTGGCCGGTAGACAGGAATCTAATTATGGTTTGTGTTTCTTCGGGTGTACTAATATTTGAGTTTCGAGATGGTTAGGTTGCCAAGGCCGAGATTCGATTTCGGAGACACTAATAGTTCGACGTATAGATTGTTATCTGTACTCCGGGAGGGGCAACAATTGATTTGTCAAATCAACCATAGGGTCAATATGAATAGTTTGCATGGGCTTGATCAGTAGCAGATGGGGCTTTGGATTGTTGTCACTGTTTTCTTAGTCGTGATGATTCCTTTGTGCTTCCAATTGTGAGTTGGATTACTTCAAGGCTTTGAGTTGTGTAAGTGGAAGATCAGTGGTTGTGGCAAGACATTGTGAGATTCCGTAATTGTGTATCAAAGTATCTGAGTATGATGCCCTAGGTTGTTGGATTATCATGAGACTTGGGTATGTTAGACAGCAAGTGCAACATTAAGCGACTATATTTACAGATGTGAGATCATCAGCTAATTGTCGCCAGATGGGAATTGTTCAAGAGTATGACTGTATCGAGGAATGCACCCTGCCTACGAGAACCTAAGTCAAGAGTAGTGATGCATAATCTGGGTAGGTGTGGTCACCTAACTATGTTGGATCGTGGAGTATTAGATAGTGAAATCAGTTCAGTGACGACTTGAGGATGAGATTTTCGGGTGATAAGAGAGTGAATGGATCCGGGTGGGAGTAATCAGTTAGGACTGTCAGGGGAGACCGTGAAGAGAGCCCATGGAGAGTAAGAGAGGGTATCATAATACTACGGGGAGCAGTAGCATTCACGATGTCAGTATGAGAGAGTATCGTAATACTACGGGGAGTCGTAGCATTCATGAGTTTGTACGAGATCGTATGACTACGGAGAGCCATAACATACATGAGTCAAAAAGAGGGTATTGTGTGACTGTAGGGATTCGTAGCATACTTGAGTCAGAGAAAGGGTATTGTGTGACTGCGGAGAGCCATAACATATGTGAGTCAGAGAGAGAGAGAGAGAGTATCGTAAGACTGCGGGGAGCCATAACATTTGTGAGTCAGCGAGAGAGAGAGAGAGAGAGAGAGAGAGAGAGAGAGAGAGTATCGTAAGACTGCGGGGAGTCATGGCATTTGTGAAGCAACACTTAGCCATAATACTTGTTAGTCAGTGAGAGAGTGTTGTATAACTACGGGGAGCCATAGCCTTTACTAGTCAGGGTGTGACATAGAAGGGCTCTTAAGCTGGGGTAGCCTTGCCAAAAGAGTCTGTGGGAACCTGGTGGCCGAACCAGGGGCGAGACTGGGGTCTCAACAACGGTCGGAAACCGTTGTGTTTTAAGTTAGAGAGGGGTTATCACAAATCGGAATGATCGAGGTGTAATGCATGCGTATATTTGTGGAAACTAGGTCATGAATTGAGTAATAGGTTGGGATGAGTGGTTCCAACTTTATGTCGGACTAGACTTTGGTGGGTGAGTTTGGCTCTATCTATGTGGAGGACGAGCAGGTTGGGATTTCGGGTGGATTTCATTCTGAGAGGGATGTGTTTCCCATTTGATGTTTTAGACTTGGATGAACTTGTTCATTGGTTTGAGGAGGACCACGATGCACATGAGGTAACAAGTGGTAGGCGACCTAGGTCGAGTGTAGGGTGCGATTTCAAATTGATTGTAGTAATCGCATGGGTTTCTATTTGTAAGCTTCTAAGTGTTCTTGTGGTATCCTTGGAGTGAAGGAGGAGCATTGAAGAGAATAGAGTGGGAGTCCAGGCCTTGGATCAAAGCTTTTATGTGGTTGGAGAATCATTTGAAGGTATAAAGCTCAAATCTTTCCCATCCTTTTTGATTTGTGCATATTATGGTCCATTTTTGGGTTTTTGGTCCCAAAGCTTGTAGCTTTATGAGTTGTTGAACTCTAGAGCCTAATATCTATCCCCTTAAGTGTTTCTAGTGGAGAGGATTCATAAAAATGACGTATTGGACGTTAAAACCACCCCATGCATGGGATATGAGCATTTTTAGGAGAAAAGAGTGAGAGTTTTTTTGTTTGGGACTTGCTTAGCCATGTAAAGGCTTAAAGTCGCGAACTTTATTGAGTATGAGCCTTTAGGGAGTCCAAATCTAAGAGTATGGCTATGGTCTTAACGGATTAAGACCCAGGGGGTGGGAGAAACAAGTTTGGGACGTACGCATAGCGTAATCCTGGTACGCCCCGCATATTGTTCTAGTGTCCCTGATCAGGATTCGTGTGTACGCTGAGCATACCAAGGGAGGTATGCCCCGCGTAATCTCACTGCGGTCTTTTAGGGCTAAATCTCATTTTGGGCCTTAAGTGTTGGGCTTAGATTTTAGGCTCGTTGTATTGGAGATTTTAGATCAAAGGAATATATATATATATATATATATATATATATATAATTAATATTATATATATATATATATATATATATATATATATGTCTTGGGCCCCTGTGTTGGGCTTTCTATTTGGACTTAAGTTTAAGGGTGGGGCCTTCGGAGAGCCCATTTAATATTGGGCCTTGGTGGGCACAATGGGCTTGGGTTATTTATAGGCCGGTTAGTGGACTATCTTTAGACCTAATGAGTAAGGGTTTGGTCTTATATCCTAACTGGGTAAATTGTGGGTTTAACTCAGTGTTAGAGGCCGGTGTGCAACAACAACATCTATAGGAGTTGTTCATCATCCGATGTGAGTTTTCTCACCATACTTAGCATGAGTGGTAACTTTGTGTGACCGGAGGGTCTTGTATGTTTATATTGAGTATTGTGATATCCTGTATTATGTCTTTGTGATTTATGTTGTGTATTATTGCGAACTTTACTGAGTTAGGATCGGAAGATCCATCTGAGTTGTGGGACTAGAGGGTCCCACTGAGACACATTGACTAGAGGGTCTTATTTGAGATATAGTCATGAGAGGCTAATGAGATATGTGTGGTATTTTGGGGAACTCACTAAGCTTTGTGGTTACCGTGTTTGGTGATATGTGTTTCAGGTACGTCTTAAGATCGCGGGAAGACGTCAGTTTGATTGTACACATGAGATGGAGTTATGTTTTGAGGATCCTGGATTTTTATTCAAATAATTATGGATTTTT